GAAATTAAAAAAAAAGTGGAGAAACTCTAGGAAGAAGATGGCCAGAAGGAGGGAAGGAAGTTTCTTGCGGTGTGTACAGCACCAAAGGGATCTAAGGTGTCCACCGCCTCAGCTTTGCTCGGCAGGCTGCCTGGCTGTACCTCACGGGCCTGGTTTGGCCCCGGGTTGCTATGTGTAGAGTCCTGGCAGCATGGTTAGATTACCTGTGGAGATACGTAGGGGACCCACGTTTATATCCTCAGGCTTTTGGCCTGTCTGGTGCCTTTTGCTGGAAATTGTTTCAATCAAACGTGATTTACTTAAGCCTGGGAGAGAAACAAGGGTAGAGAAACAACAGCTTAGTTTGTGCTTCCACCTCTCTCTCTCTTTTTTTTTTTTTTTTTAAAGCTGACATGCGTTCAGGCTGTCGACAAAAGAGATGTGCTCCCCAATGGTGTTTTCCTTCTGTCCCCCAGGGCTGCACTGGTACTGATGCAGACATGTTGTGAGCCAGGCTGGGGAAATGCTCTGATCAAAAACTAACTAAAAATAGTTTTTAACCAAGCCACTGCAAACTTTGCTGAATTGGAGCTTTTAAAAAAACTTTTTCATAAGAGCAGTTTGTGTTGGCAAGCATTAAGCCTAATTTTTTAGTTCAATACTGAATAGACATAAAATCTTAATGTATAAAAGCTTAAGGTTAGTGTTAATGCTATTTTAATGCTGGCAGAAACAATATTGTGAAAAGTACTTTTTATTATCTAGATATTTGTATTTGTTTTGCCTGTCACTTTGTTTAAGTAAAACTGGACTGGATTTATTTTATTTCCTGGTTGTTATGCCCTTGGTTATTCCCCCCCTCCCCCAAATGCAATCCAAACTTAATTTAAAAATGGCTTATAACTTGTAAGTCTCTTCTAACATTGTTAGTCTAAAACCTAATTGGCTTTACCTTTTAAAAGTGGTTACTGACGTGGATAAGATTTTTATCTACAAGGAAGTAGCTAATTTAAATAACTACAGCAGCAGGATGTATTAACTGTACCTTGCAGAAATGTTATGCAGTGGAAGACTTCACTGACTTGAAAGAAAAATGAACCAAATCATTACATACTGGATTCAGCAATTCATACGCATATTAAATGAGCAAAGTTATTATCAATCTACCTGAAGTGACACACTGTTAGCTCATCTTTTAATCAACAGAGGAACATAAACTTATGCCAATTAAATTACATTTCTTTGGCTATTCAGAACATAACAGATAATGCCATGAAAGATGTTACTGAACGACCAACATCCATCCACCGGACGCTACATGTAACAAAGAATACTTCACTATTTTGAAAAAAGGCTTTGTAGACACTACTTACTGAGTTACATGCTACATGTTCACAGATGTTACAGGTGATGCTTTCATGCAAAGAAGTTATGTTTAGTTATGCACTGTTTTGTTTACTAGTGTAGATGTAGTCTTTGCCACTCTCTGGCACTGTGGCCAGACTGTGCCAGTTGGCTTCATCCCTACTAAGAAACTCTCAGGCTTTAGAGGGAGGTGGCTGTATCAAAACTGTCAATAGTAGATAACATAGATGGTGTATCTTGAATTGTTTAATTTGCTTGAATACCCTAGTACTTCTTCCAGGAATAGTTTTTCAAGAAAGGCCTTTGCTTTGGCTAGCCTGACTCTTCATATCAGACTTTAGTGTACTGTATAGGGAGGACTGATTGCTGTTTCAGAGTGAGAGCTTAAGAGCATGAAAGCACAGGAAAACTTTTTGATTCCTGTCAGATATACATTAGTTTATGATTAGTTTTTCTATAACACAGGATTATTAGGGCATGATGGCCTCTTACCAAATGTATCTAGAATTCCTATACAATCTTCTTTGAGAAAAATCTTTAAAATTTAACTTAGACTCTTTATAGGAAGTATTTCACAACGTTTGAAACTACTATACACTATCATGACAGTGTTTGGTACAATCATACAGCTGGAGGAAACCCTATTTCAATTCATAAAATTAAAACGAAGGGCATGCTGAGTTGTCATTTCTGTTTTCTTTCAGAAAATGTCAGCTTGCTGTTCAAGTTGTACTGCCTCACAGTGATGACCCTAGTTGCTGCAACATACACAGTAGCATTGCGGTACACACGGACAGTGGAAACAGAACTGTACTTTTCAACTACCGCTGTGTGCATCACTGAAGTAATCAAGTTATTCTTAAGTGTGGGCATCTTGGCGAAGTAAGTATGTGAATGCTAACTAATATTTTGAAAATGGATTCCTGCTTCTAGCTTCAGAATCTCAGATATCTGAGGTACAGGTACATTTGCATACATAACTGGAGAAACATGTTGTGGAGGGATCATTTTAGAGCAGGTCACAGAGCTTGTGAAACCTCCTCAACTGAAACTGTTCTGTAAACAGCACAATATTCAGGTGTGTCCTAACTGCATGTTTTCTATAGTTGTGTGCTTTGGAATAGGTTCAAAATGTCAGCATGGATTATTAGTGGTGTGCTGGGTCTTTAGAATACGTGAGTACGTGAAAGCTTAACTGAGGGCTGTGGCCTGCAGAGTTGCATAAAATTGGAGCGTTCCTACTAATTAATTTCCTAATAAATTTCCCCGAACAATATTATGGACAGATATTTTGCTGCCACTGTTTTCCAGAAGAGTCAAAGTTGAAAGACTGTAGTAACTCCCAGTTTCTGTAATCCAGGATGCCACCAAGGACTAGAAGTTGTGTCACCATATGAACACTTGAAGAAGTATGGAAGCCATCAGTGTGCTGTCTTACCTCTCACTTTCCCTGAGCTACATCCTTCCACGGAAGCATCTTCATACTCTGGACATTTCCAAATCCCAGTTCTTACTATTTGGGTAGAATTTGTTCTTTTAGGGTCCCTATCTATCTCTTCATGACTTCTGGTACATCAGAAGGCCTGGCTGCTTTGTGGTAGAGGATCATGAACTCACATGATGTATTTTTGGTTTTTTATCAGATATTTTCTTGTTAACATGAAAGTGGTATTTTACTTACTTTAGAAAGCAGCTGTGGCAAACAGCTTTTTCTTTTTTCTTTTTTTCTTTTTTTTAAACCTTTGTGAAGTATAATGCATTGGAAAAGGCAAACATTGCTGCTGCCAGATTTAGAAGAGCAGTTTTTTATATATATGTATATATATTTTAAATGCATCCTAGGCTCCTCACTCTGTCTATGCAGATTATTATCAGAGGTGTCTCTGCTGATGACTGGTTGCACTGTGGTTCTCACAATGTTGTGGCCAGTATGGATCAGTGATCCTGATCCAGCCTGCTTTCTGGAGACTTCAGCAGCCCAGGTCTCTGACTAGCGAAGGACCTATGGGTGGGATTTGGTAGCCATACCTTCATGTATGATTTCCCAAATCTGTTCTTGTGTGTATGGGACCCAGGCTGGCTACAGTATCCCCAGGAGGCCTAGTTGCAGCAGGGTAGGTAACGTGTCTTTTGTTAAGAGTCAATAGTATTTTGTTTTGTTAAAAGTGTGAAAGTTCTTTTTAATTGAAATAATTTAAAAGGCAATAGCTTTTAGCACGGGAGCCTGCTACGCTTGTTAGAACAGCCCTGCACAGGCAAAAGTCCGTGTAGCCGTCCACCCTCCCTTTGATGGTAGCCAGTAGTGGATGCTTAAGAAAGGAGTATAAGCAATAGGGCAAGCGCAGACTGACTCTTCCCTAGCTAATGGCAGTCAGATGCTAATGGATTTCCAAGGCTGAAGGCTGTGTAGGTGCATGCTGTGGCTGTAGCCCCTAATTATCCTGTCTTCTGCGAGATTGTCTGGTCTCTCTTTTTGAACCGTTAGTCCCGATAACACCTGCAAAATGAGTTCTGCAGTGTAATTATTCAGTATGTGAAAAGTACTTCTATATGAACAATTTACTTAATAATTTCACTGGATGCTGTCGTCTTGTGTTAAAAGACATGATGAGTATTTTTTACCTGTTCCTATTTATCATTTTTATTTTCGTATCTCTACAGATCTGTATTATATTTTCCTCACTTGCCTCTCTTCCCAGCTAAGAAGTCCTAGTCTAATTTCTCTGTGATCATTCCTGTATCCTTCTCGTCAGGTTTTCCAGTATTGCTACATCCTTTTTGAAATAGGATCCAGAGCTGCATGCAACATTCAACGAGTCTTTTTTTTTTTCTAGCTGAGAGAGAGAAATGATCACTACCAGACAGCTGTTGATCAGAACTTGCTCACCTCTTTTGGTAGGATGTCTCACTTGCTCGTGGGTCTGGATTCCTTCTTTTACTGCCTAGATGGCTGGAAAGCTGTTTCTCAGATGGTCTCTGGCTACATCAAGTCGAATTCACCTGACCTTTTGCCATCTGCAGTTATTCAAAATTTCCTTTTCTGTATCACGTATAATTTGGTATAAGCAGCAAAATTTGGCGGTTTTCTAGTAATCACATGTTTGAGGTTAGTTACAGATATGTTAACAGTGTAAGTTCCAGCAAAGTTTCTTGCAGTGTCTGATGGCTTCCTTTTAAATTTCTGTTCATTTTGTCGTGTGTTAGAGGAGGTACCTTTGTAGTTTAATAACCAGTTAAAAGATGGAAGACAATGTGTTCATTCAGTACTGTTGGATACTTTCACGTACCTTGTTATTGCTGAAACAGCTAGTATTATTATGGTAATATACAGGATACTGAAGTAGTTTGATTCTCAAATTGTTCCGGTTACTGAATTTGTTTTATTAGGCACTCTTACATTATGCCTTTACTGTGTTTACTTTTTGGGTTTCTCCTGTAGGGCATATTGAATGAATGAATGTGAAAAGATTGTCTTTCAAAAGGGAAGGTTATGATAGCTTTAAGCTGTGTAATTATTTATTCAACTGCATGTTAGGGCAAAAAGACACAACTTCTTATACTTATTTGAAGTTTAGTTGACCATTTGATAATTATGCTTTTTTAGTTCTTAGGTGATGTATTATTTCTTAGCAGTGGATCAAAAAAACTAGAGCTGATTTGCAAACTCTAGTTTTAACTTTAGCTTTTTAAACAAACGCATATTTAAGCTACAGAACTGATTGCTATGGTATCTCTTACATATTCAGACATATGAAGCAAACTGAATCAGTTTCCGAAGTCAAATATTAAGAAACATCAAGAAAGCTGAATTCAAGCCAAATCATTTTTACTTTCTTCTTTGGTTTTGCAGTGTACATCTTTGAGCACCTTATTTTGTATTATAAGCTATATTCAGAGAAGATTTTTAATTCTTTTTGTATAGATTTTGTGATTGTATAGCTCATAAACATGATCTTTGTACTGAATTCAAGTTATAGTTAGAGATTCTTGATAAATATGCGCTTCAGAAAGCAAACCTCCTGCAAAGATGAGCTATTATATAGCTCATCTTCTTGTTCCCAAATATGGAAGGGAAGATGGTACTTAATGAACACTGATTATTCTCCACCGGGCGATATGATAAATTAATTGAGGAATAAATAAACTGACACTTTTTTCTATAATGTAGATGGCTCATAGCACTTTAAGCATTTCCATATCTAGTGCAATCAACAGTGGTCATCTATAGCATGCACTCTTCCCCCTCCTTGTATTACATTACTTCTCTATAGATTTTTGTATCTGGAGGTGTCCCCTGTAAACCGGACGAGTCTTGCAGAAGACAGATAAGTGATATGCTCGGTGTCTGCAAATCTGGCCCCGTACAAAGTTTCCCTTTAAGTTAGGAAAGAGCGTTGCATGTGATCTTGATTGTACAGTGGGAAGTGCAGGAAGCTGTGCTCGCCTTTGGTAAATGTACTGCCGCTGACATTGCTTTTATGGCCACTCTCTGCAGCTGCTTGTATCCAATAAAGACTGCTCCAGCCTAGCTGTCACTAAAAAAGGAGGAGAAAAGGAGAGGTGTCCTGGGTGACAGACAGGGAATAAGGCAAGAGAAGAGAGAAAGTTGCATGGAAGGATCAGGAGAGGAGAGAAACCATAAATCTTTGGAGGGGCAAAGTTTAAGAATCTGGAGCACCGAGTCGGAAGGAATCAAGAATAGAGAATATGCAGGAACTGGGTAGTTTGCAAAGAGCCTGGGGCGTTGGAAGACTGCTAATTTTGCGTGTGAGGAGTTTGGGGCAGGTAGATAACGTGCATTTGTAGAAAGAAAGAAGATGACACACGAGCAAAGTGTGTGGAATTGGGCTCCCAGGGTTCTGAGGAGGATGTGAGCCGTGTGTTTATATACCTGGGTGGGGGAAGCATAACGAGTGTGAAATTTAAGAGTGATAGAGGAAAGCAGTTGAGAGGCCTGTAGTGTAATTGGGAGGGGACAGAAGTGATTTTGGATGTTGATGTTCTTTGTCAAAGGCCAAGCAAGAGAAAAATGGAAAGGGGGAACGTGGGTCGAAGGGAGTGCTGGGAGAACTGGGAAGGAAATTGGAGGACTTCGGTAGCAGGGACAAGGAAACAAGAAATGTCAGGTTGGTGTATAAATAATAAGACAGTACTAATGATGCAGAGGTCAGATTTTGATAAGCTAAGGAACAAGCTGCAGAAGTGGGTGGGAGCAAGCACTGACACATTATTCCCTGTTGCGTGCTGTCTGTCACACACACTGTAATTACATGGAGGAGACATGCAAAGATGCCAGGGGACCAGCAGCTGCCACATGCACTGCCCGAACTCTTTGTACGTGTCTGCTGCAGGCCGAGCTTCTATTTCAGCTTCCTGGGGCTGGCTTAGAGGTGGGAAGTGTTTCAGACTCAGTAGAGTGCAAGGGTGTAGTCTTTTTGTTTTTCCTGTACTGTGAGGTCCATGGCAGCACCACCAGCAGAAATTTCACTTCTGGTTTAAAGAGGAGCTGGAACAAGGCAGATATTTGACTTAAGATGCAAATATTAGGACCCCCCCCCCCCAAAAAAAAAAGTGGGTAACCTTCTGTCCCACTCCCTGTATACTTAGTTACTTATTCCACTGTTTGCAGTGTTCATGGTTGTTGAATTTGTTATGCATTAATGCATCTGAGCTTCCAATTCTAGAATGTCTTTTTCCCCTTCAGTGGATTCTACTTGTTGAGAACCTCACTGATTTTTCCAGTTAATTTTTCCTTTAATGAGCAGAAGGTATAACTGATTATTAGGAACAAGTTTTCAGCCTTCCCAAAGGATGCATTGACTTGATTTCTGTTTTCAAATATAACTGGAGGCCGTCTTCCCCTGTTATTAATATTTTATTTTGCAGAGAAACTGGAAGTCTGGCAAGGTTAATAACATCTTTAAAAGAAAATGTATTAGGAAGTCCTAAGGAATTACTAAAATTAAGTGTTCCATCTTTGGCGTATGCTCTCCAAAACAATATGACTTTTGTGGCTCTTAGCAATTTGGATGCAGCAGTCTACCAGGTAATTGGCGTTTTTGTACGTAACTGATCTGTAAAACATGTTTCTCTTCACTGTTTCATGAGGCATGCATGTTAGGTATCTGTCTGCCTAACACACAGTACTCTCTTCAGCCTTACTGGTCAAAGCCAAACGGTGCTTTGTTATCTGCAGACCAGGTAGCAGTGCTCTGGTTTTCTGAGCTCTCCCACTCACTTCTAGTGTTTTAAAATTCTCACTGTTGTAATTGAAGATGGCAAAGATAAAGCAGTATCTATGGAAAATCAATGAATATAAAATTTTATTTTTCATTTTGTAGTTGAATTCACTATTTTTATTTTCTCGTTTTGGAGGAGTTCATAAAACCAAATACTATATGCTATGTTCCCTTTTTCTTTAGGTGACATACCAGCTGAAGATCCCTTGTACAGCTTTATGTACAGTCTTAATGCTAAGCCGTTCCCTTAGCAAATTGCAGTGGTTCTCTGTCTTTATGCTGTGTGGTGGTGTTACGCTTGTGCAGTGGAAGCCTGCTCAGGCTACAAAAGTACAGGTAAGAGTTTACACTTCACCATTTCATTAAAAAAGAATAAGCTGCCTCAAGCCTTTATTTCACGTCAGAGTAGCTGGGGAATAAGGTAATGCCTCTCATGTTCCACATAGCAGTATCCATTTCCTATTTCCGGCCACTACATTTGCAACATAAACATTACCTTGATCTTACTTTCATATTCATTGTGCACCAGTTCAGACAGGCTTGCGGTATTGCTCTAGGCTCATTTGTTGGAAAAGCAACTGATGGCTACAATTAGTATAAATTACCACAGTCATCGTAATCAGTCTAATAGCAATGCAAAAATCATAGGAATATCTTGAGTAATGTATTATTTCTGGCCGTTGGCCTCTGAAGCATGATAATTGTTGGAGCAGAAAACTTGGAATCGAAGTGCTTGTGGAATTAGAAATGAAGCTCCAATGACTTGTGGGCGTGGGCACGTCATTTAAGCACACCCTTTTAGTGACATTGACCTAATCCCATTCTAGGGAAAAACAAGTGTCTTCTGTTTCTTAGGTTTCAGTTGTTGGCCATCACCATTAATAGGAAAGGCTGGTCATGCACCTGGAAACACTAGCCACAGCCAGGCAGACAGTGCCTCTGAGCACTGCAAAGAATGGTAAAAGTACACGTGAAAAATGAAACACCACAGTTAACTGTCATGACTCTACTGAGCTAGTCTGCAGGGCAGCTATAGCTAACCAAATACATTTTATACTGTAATGAAAGGATAGTGATTTGGATGTACTTAAAGTAGCTCTGGAATTGATTATTGCAAAGTGCTAGTGTTGCATCTTTTAAAATTAATGATTGATGTTGCAGGTGGAACAGAATCCATGGCTAGGGTTTGGAGCAATTGCTGTTGCTGTATTATGTTCAGGATTTGCAGGTAAAGTATTATTTCAGTACGCAGCTCACATCAAGAGGACTGGACCGTTCATGATGATAAAATTTTACAGTAGCTAACTATCTTTGTTGATTAGCAAGATAAATAAGGACTTCATCCCCTCTGCCCATAATTACCTTCTGCTTGAGGTAGTTATAAACCAGATTTATGACACAATTACTCTACTTGTGAAACAAACGACGAGGAGCATGTACTCTTGATTTTACATGATGCAGCTTGGAAGGCTGGTCTGCAAGTGGAAGAACCCTTCCAATCCTTAGAGTAAGACTAAAGGGAACCTCTGTAATGACTCACTCAGGCAGCTAATTAGTTTACATTCACTTTATAAAGTTAGTTTCACAGTGAATAGTTCTCTTATGGTGATGATCACATGAAAAACTTGCATTTTTGAGAGGGGAACTGAGCTCCTCCATCCTTTTTTTTTATTTTTTCTTTTTTTTTTCTTTTTGTGCTTGATCAGCTCCCAAAATACACATTGTCAGAGTCCTGTAGGTGGTAAATCTAATTGAGATGTGGGAGACCATAAGTAAGGTAGGGAGGAAGAGGAGTAGTAGGAAGCCCAGATGCACTGCGTAAAGCATTTCGTTACAAACAGCATTTCCCCTTAGTTTTTCTCTCTCTTGCTTCCGCAGAAGGAGACACGAACTTGAGGACAAGCGAGCTGGTGCTCAAAAATAAGGAAATGAAATGTCTGCTTAATTTGAAATTTGACTTACAGAATTCAGGGACATTTTTTTTCCTAGCTGTAAACTAGCCTTTCCCCCTCCCCCTGCCAAAAAGCAAGGTATTATCCCCCACCTCTAGCGTCATACAGTTCTACGAGAGTCATCTTGTGCCGTGCATATGTGGTCCTTGTTAGTCATGGAAAACACTCTCGGTAACAGGGAGAGAAGGGAAGGAAAGATTGGCTTTTCTTTGGATTTTTTAGCTGAAATGGCCACTTTGGAGTAAAAAGAGTAAACAATACTATGTAGAGCTTAAACAACTTTTCCTGGAAGGAACAAAATTTACTCATTCTCAGATGCTCCCAAGCCATGAAACAAAATAGTGCATTCACAGTGAAGCCTCCTGAGCCTCCTAAAGCTCTCTAGGTTTCTCTGATGATGTGGGTGGATAGCTGTGCCTCTAAAGGTCAGCAAATTCAGACCTTTTAAAGGAATGATGAGGGCTGCTCTAGAAGCATGAGACACATTCAGCTTCCTTCTCCAGCAAAAGGATTGCAACTTAGGTTTTTTCCTCACTGTCAGTTGTAGCTTGGAGGCAGCTGGGAAGACGGCATATCTCATCCATGGAACTGTGTATGCGCTTGGCACTTTACATGTTGAAAACATAAGCCCTATTCAATTCATTTCCTCCTCCTCCCCCACCCACCCACAATATGAAGAAGTTATTTTGGCATCAAAACTTCAATTTCTGGACTGACTATGTTAAGTGTTCTATAAAATTCCAACTAAGTCCAAAAAAATGTGGTTTTGTCCCTCAGAGATGGAAAATAGTCTTCCTTCAAACTGCTGATCCTTTGATGATTTCCAGGTATCCAAAGGCCCAACAATTGAAGGGTTTTGGACAAATACAGAATGACAGATCCCTTGTGACTAGAAACTGTACTGAAGCATAATTTCTACTACACATTATCCACTTTTTCTTACCTCTTGCCTAATGTAGTGATTTTTATGTACTTACTCCTAGAAATCTGAAAACACCATTTCATTGGCTTAGTTATTGTTTTCATACTTTATACAATTTACAAGTATGGTTCACATCCAAGCTGAACTCCTGGTAAACTGAATGAATCTGGTTGTGTTCTGTAAGTCCTCCCTGTAGGCAGAAAACCCAAGATAGACCCTTGCGGATTTTTTTTAAAGTGCTTCACTTATTAACAAGGCTTTTTTTTTTTTTTTCTGATACTGTTTAGACTTGTTTAAATGTATTCATATAAGATAATATCCTGTTTCCTGTTTAGCTTCTTGTGTTTAAAGACCTGAAATACAAATCTGTTCTCTAGCTACTGTATTCACTGAACATATTTAATATATATTGTATTAAATTATGAATTGTGGTTTTAATGAGTTTGGGCAGCAATACTTTCCTTGAAACTAACTCAGTGATTTCAGGAGGCCTACATGTCTAGACATCTAACACATAGGCCTGCTCTCTGTGCTGCCTTTGTTCACGAGTAAAGCTTATAGTTGGGGGTGAATAATACTGAAAAATGCAAGTCAAATTAGTAATTGATATATATTAAAGAAAATTGCTAAGAACAGCTATTGACAGAGGCAGTCATGTCAACTCGTTGTCCATGAACTTTATTAGGACCAGAAGAATCCATGGTAATTATATGTGCCCGTGACCAGATGGAGAGGGTAGAATTGTTGCTGAATATTTGTTCAGATCTGGAAACAAAACAATTCCATATACTTTTCTTACATCACATGAAGAATCTTGGGCAAAGTTAATTACCAATAAACATTTAATCAATAGGACTCACACTAGAAAGTCATAGCAATGACTGAGGAGATCTCAGGGCCCTGCAAGTTGTTGTATACGTTGTGAAATGTAGAGGACATTCCAGAGATTAGCAGAGTCCTGTTATTAGCAGCAATAGTTAAATGGTACCTTGTGATGATACGGTCAAATACAGGCCTGTTTGTCTGACATACACATCCTGAGTTGAATAATGAAACGGTACCTATGGAATTTAAATAATGCAAAATATAAATTCTTTATACGCCGTTGTAATCCTTTGAAGCTGTGGTTGCAGAACGTGCTTCCACTTTGCCAAGCACTCTGTAAGCACAGGGTTTCAAAGGAATTTACGCTCTCAGTACTGATGTAATATAGTTCCCTTTTGTGAAGATTTTGATTTGGTACTGCTAAGTATCCTGATGGGGAAAAAAATCCTTCTACATCATACCAAAATACATAAATACCATCTTGAGGGTTAAGAGACCAGGTGCCAAGGTAAAAGGCTTTTTCTAGTGCAGGAAGGCACAGAAAAGGCTTTGCTGGAATCAGAAGACTGGCAAATCCAAATAGAAATGAGAAGTATTTTTAAGAACGAAGCCAATTGACAGTTGAAACAACTGTAAAAGGAAATAATCCAACTTTGGATGTTATGTCAAACGTATTATGTTTTGATGTATGTAAAATGATGCTGTCCTGAACGACATACATTAGCGGGCCGTGCTGGGCCTTCTGCGTTGTATGCACTTGTGTGAAAGGTAACGCTCTGTAATATTTATTACAAAGATGGCTCAATAATCCTGTCTGGCTTTAAAACATCTTTCCTGAAAAGTGTTTTTTGGTTTGTTTGTTTTTAGGAGTTTACTTTGAGAAGGTATTAAAGAGTTCAGATACTTCCTTGTGGGTGAGGAATATTCAGATGTACTTATCTGGGATTGTGGTGACTTTATTTAGTGTCTACATGTCAGAGGGAGCCCAAGTTCTTGAGAAAGGATTTTTCTATGGCTATACATACTATGTCTGGTTTGTCATATGTAAGTATCTTGTGGTTTTAGATTCTTGTTACATTGTTTTGCTTTTTTTAACTTATGGTATAACTGATTGAACCTACAAACTCAGTCTGGCCCACCATTTTTTTCTGTGTTTTGAGAGATTGTTAAATGACTGTTTTCTTTGGAATTATTTACTTGTTCAATTTAAAAACGTGCTGATACTGCAGTGAGTAGCAAGTAGATCATCTTGATGATCTACAGGAGTCATTTTATCTACTAGAGGTCAAATAGGCATGCACTTTTGCTGTGTGTTGCCTTAAATTTCCTATTAGGACTACCTAGTTCAATCAAGGAACATATCAGTGGAATAAAATGTGTCACTTTCTGTTACCTACTGGTACTTTACTAATAGAAACATGTTGCTTGCTTTCCAGTTCTTGCCAGTGTAGGTGGCCTCTACACTTCTGTTGTTGTTAAGTACACAGATAACATTATGAAAGGCTTTTCTGCAGCAGCAGCCATTGTTCTTTCTACCATTGCATCAGTCATCCTCTTTGGTCTCCAGATAAGTAAGTAGCTTTTAGTCATCAATTTGATCTTCTGTGCATGTTTCCTTCCTGGGTGGCAGGCTGTGTACAGTTCATACCAAGGCAATCATGTGTGCCTTCTCTGAAATTTTCTGATTCCTGTAACTCAAGAAGTCTTCTCCCAGGAATCATATGCACTAACATATTATCTATGCTGTAAATGTTACAAAGGTACTTGATGATCCTGTGCTATCAAACACATTCATGATCTGTTCTTTCAGATGCATCATACAGTTTCAAATGGGAATGTTCTCCCCAATTTAAATAGCTTACCAATTTCAAAAGCTCTGTTCATGAACTACTTTCTGATGCACTTCAGTGTGCAAATTGATATAATTCAAGCAGCTATTGATAAGTTATCCTTGTTTGTTGGCTTTAGTATAGCCAGTGCGACATTGATGTCTTGGCTGTTTCTGCCAGGGCATTACTGCATCCCTGTTAAGTGATACCCCCTACAGATTCAACTTTGACCTTCCTGTTTACTGTGCCCATCAATGGATGCATGAGAGTGTGATTCAAACAGTGACTGGGGTTATGACCCATGCAGTGAATATTTCTGAGACGAAATAACAGATCGCTTTGGGTTATTCTGCAACTTCAAAGGATTTTCTCCCTGTTCAGTTCCATATCTGATAGCCAGTAGCTCCTGCTCATCCTTCACTGTTTTTTGACTTTTATGCCATAACCCAAAATGGTATGGTGTAATGGTGGAAGAACTAGCTCTCTGATGTGGTATTAATGAGGTGAAACTTGAGGAAAGTTTGCATAAAGAGAAAAGCCTCGCTGTTTTGCTGAAAAATAGCACCTTAGAACAAGTGATGAAAAATACAGCCAGTTTTAAAAACTCACCTGGACAGGAAACTTTCTTGTTGGTTGACACACATCAAGCATGGATTGATGATCCTTCTGTGAAAGCCTAATTTACAATACTTTTCAAACGTGTCTAGATTTGTAAAGGCAAACAGAATGCCTTCTCGCAGACTGTTTTTATCACATAATGTGCTTATCATGAGTTTATTGTAATATAAGCCTGTTAGAGCACATCTGGAGCTAGAAGAGGTGTTTTATACTTGTTTTTCTGACTGTCACCACATTCTTGGTGATATGTGACTAACTGAAATGGCATAGGGATTGTAAATACTATTTCAAGAGTTTCAGGGACAGAGTGCGGTTTATAGATTCTATAAATTAGCATTAGCAGCTAAATTTCCTTAGATCCAAGTAATTTAAATACTGTTATTCAAACTTTATCTCTAATTTATATGGCTTAGCCTTCTGAATGTTTTGTCATACACGGAGGTGTTTACGTAAACTGTTTTGTCTCTTTTCAGCTGTTACCTTTTTGCTGGGTGCTCTCCTGGTGTGTATTTCTATTTACCTCTATGGATTACCTCGACAAGACACTACAAAAATCCAGCCCTCAGAGACTAAGAGTTCCAAAGAGAGACTTGTTACTGTGTGACATTGTCCGTAACAAATGGACGCAGGCAACAGAAAAAAATGGACTGGAAACAAACCTGCATTTTTTTTTTTTGAAATTAGCCTTAAGCTAGTCATGAGACAGTTTAAGTGGGATAGAATAAAAGCAGAAGTTAGTTCTGTTTTACACGTGAAGTTTTTTTTTTTTTTTTTCCAGTGGCTGATGCTGAGGCTACATTGTTGCCAAGGATCTGGATGAGTAGTTTAATTATTAAAGGTATACTTCATTCATGTTGGACAATGAAGAGTCCCATTTACAAGGAAAGCAGAATGAAGGAACTGAAAATCAATTGTATATAATGTACATAACGGAGGGAAATTTGGTTCTTACTATGTATTTGATAAAACGTCTTGCCATTTGAGGGCGCAAATGCCCCAAAAGCTTCAACATTCTATTAAAAAGAGCACTTATTGCCAGCATTTTCTTTTAAACTGTTTGGCAGTGTGATTAATCACAGGAAAAGTTTTATCTTCTCGTTAACACAGATCAGATTAACACAGTATGTCACTAGTGTTTTTATGATAAATTTAACAGTATTTTTTAAATGCAGCCAAGTCTGGCTGTCCTTTCACATCTTCACCAGTAGCAACCGTGCTTCATGCAGTATTTATCTAGAAGTACTCAGAAGTAGCCCTTGCTAAACAAGATCTTTAGAAAAAGGTTTTAGAATTATTTAAAAAGTTATAATGAAAAATTAATTCTCACTCTTTTAAAAAAAAAAAAAAAGCATTTAAAGTGAATGCAACTTAATAGCTACTGCAACTATTAGAGGCGTGAGTTTTTTTACGCGCTACTTGTCAAATAAATTCCAATTGTACAGAAGAACATCAACGTGTAGGTAAGTGTTCTTGTATCTCCAGCTTAGTAGGAAGGAATCAAAACAAGGCATTAGGCTAGCTGATTTAGCTGTCTCTCAAAGCCTTTTTGTACATTACAGAGTGATGCTTGAAAACAGTTCCTGCAATGTATGTCAGGCTCTGATTTAATTAATGAGTGCCAAGTGTATAATTTCAAAGCCCTCCCTAATTTGAAGCCTCACTCA